CTGGTGGCAGCAACATCTGAGCATTCGGAGCTCCGTTTTCGCTTAAAAGTAGCCCGTGTTCGCGAATTTCTAATTTATTGTTTTTCTCATGGCAAGACGCACTCCAGACCTCCTCGTATTGTTTGGTTCTTGCTGGGCAACAACAACGAGCGAGCACAGTCATCGCTCTTTGGTGGCAAACGTGGAGAAATTTGTATATTGTAACTTTTGTAATTGAACCATTTTGTACTGTATATTGTATGTGTTACTAACTTAACTTGGGTCTTGCCAATTTAGCTCCAGTGGTGCAAATGCTTTGTTTTCACGGTGCATTTGCTTGGGTTTTAATTTTGCAACAGTGCATTCTTTGGTTCCGAGACTGAATTCTCCATGTCGTCAGACGCTTTGGCCTGGGGGGGTTCTCTGGGCCCTTAGACGCTGGGTCATCATCCTAAAAGGATGAGGTTCATCATCCCAAAGGGATGAGGTCAGTCGGCCCTGTATCTATGCGGCTGCGTCCTCCCTTGGGCGTGTGAGCGCTGCGACCTATAGATTTCGTTTCGAGTTCCATCGGTGTGCTTGCTTGGGTTTTCATTTTGCAACAGCGCATCCTTTGGTTCCAGGTCTGAATTCTCCATGTCGTCAGGAGCTCTTGGTCTGGGGGGGTTCTGTTGGCCCTTAGACGCTGGGTCGCATCATCCTATAAGGATGAGGTCAGTCGGCCTTGGATTTATGCGGCTGCATTCCTGCCTTGGGCGAACGAGCACTGCGACCAATAGATTTCGTTCCGAGTTCCATCGGTGTGCTTGCTTGGGTTTTCATTTTGCAACATTCTCAATTTTTGGTGCAATTTCTTCCGGTGATGAATTGGGTACTAACTTTGCATTTGTTTTGTATCTAAATTGTATCTGTATCTGTAGTGTATTCTGTATTGTAGTTAGATTGTAGGTACCTGTATTGTATTTCTTTTGTATTGTACTGTATAACGTTCTATCCCTCATTAACAAATCCTAGCCCTCTCCTTTCCTAGCGAGATCTGCTCCAGACCTTCCCGTGGTTCTTGCTGAGCATCAACTATCGAGGACAGAAAATTCAAATTCAAAACCAGCAAAGTTTCACAAAAATCTTGAAAATCGCTCGTTGGTGGCCAACGTGGAGCAAAAGAGACTTTTGTAACTCAACTAACTTTGTTAACTTTGTATTCTTAAGGAAACAAAAATGTATTACATTTAATTTATTATTTATAAGGACAAATGTGAAGACAAGTTGTTAACAAATTTTTCCTTCATTTTCCTTTTTTTCCTCGGCAACTTCTACCTTTAATAGGAGTCGTTTCTTTGATAAGCGTCATCACTAAATCAGCAATGTTAGTGTTTTGGAGGGGATAAGTAAATATATTTTGACTAAACATTTATTATGCTCTTTTAAACCTTAAAACATCTGCAAGATTTCAAAGCATTCGGTTTTGTAGTTTCTGAGTAAATCAGTAAAATAAATTTACGCTTTCATTAATTTTTTTGAATCACCCTGTATATGCAAATCCAAAAAATATGAATGGAGTGATAGATCACAAGTACAGACTCATCATATTTTGTACATTTTAGATATGATTTATTCCACAAACTGTTGAGCTGACGTCATCAAGTTTTTGGAGGGGATAAGCAAATATTTTTTGACTAAAGATTTATGATGCTCTTTATAGCCTTAAAACATCTGCAACATTTCAAAGCATTCTGGTTAGCAGATTAAAAATTAAATTTCAAAATGTTGTTTTATAATTTTGATTTTTTTTCCAAAAATCTGGACGTTTCGGGTGAAAAGTCGATTCGGAGTTGTAAACTACATGTGTAGGACTATGTTATTTTATACAATTGAAAACCCATTTACTATGTACAATTTTGAAGTGACGTCATCGCATTAGTGGTGGGGATGATTAGACAAATTTTGGTTAGCGTTTTACCATCTAAATGATATTCTTAATATAAGTACAAAATTTTACAACAATCGGTCGAGTAGTTTCGGAGATTATCTGTCTAATAAAAATCCGGGACGGCAGACGGACAGACGGACAGACGGACGGACAGACGGACAGACGGACAGACAGACGGAACTGGGAGACCTATTTCTTCGTCTTCTAGGGGTCATGAAAGATCGAGAAAACGTAAAAGTAGAGACTCGGCCGACGGACTCGATTACAATACTTCCTTTGCTTACGCTCGGGAAGTAAAAAGCATTAATTATTACTGAATTAATAATGTTTAGTAATTAAGTTTTTTGATGAAAGAATGTTTATTTTAAGTTTCTTTGTTAATTTTTTCAAAACTTTTAATTTGTTTAGTTACTTTTTTGCTAAGAATATCTTATGTTTTTGTTAATTTTGTATGCATTCATAATAGTAATTTACGCAACTAGTTCGGGATAGCCTGCTTCCCGCATGAACGCTTGTTTGAGGCACGACCGAAGGGAGTGCCGCATTTGCGTGAATGCGGGAAGCAGGCTCACGAACGTGTTGTGTACAATATTTTTTGCGACGAATAAACCTTTAAACTGAAGAGATTAACTGTGAGTTATTTATAAACAACGCCATTGACAGCGCCGTCAACACGTCACAATGTTGACACTACCAGAGTATTTTAAGGTTACCATGGCAACGGGAAGTTAAATGCACGTGTGCGGGAAGTTCGACCTCCCGCACTCTGGTGAATGCGCGAAAGCTATCAAAAAAGGTCATGAGTGCAAAAAATACATTTTAATACAGCAGGTTTATTTTTGATTGTTATTTTCTACAAAGTTTCAATAATGCACGCAGTACAAAAAATCATTGCCCAAAACAATAATTTTATTATTCCAATTTGCACTTAGTATAATGCTCAAAATGCAAAAACTTATGGCGCAACATAGTAAATCTAATGCACAAATGTTATTGCGCATAGTATAAAATTTAATGCACAAAGTATTACAAATATTGCACACTTAATTACGACCCATTGAAAAATCGAAACATCGAAAAACTGGAAAATCGAAAAATTAAAAAAAAAAATGGAAAATCAGAAATTTAATGAATTTCGAAAATTGAAAAACTGAAATATGCATAGAAGAACTGAAAACTCGAGAAATCGAAAAATCTAGAATTTTAAAATTTGAAAAATTAAAATATCGAAAAGTTGAAAAATTGCGAAATCGTATCAGTGAAACATCGGACAATTGAGAAATCTAAAAATGAAAAAATGGAGAAATCGAAAAATTGAAAATGTCAAAAATTAAAATACTGAAAAATTGAAACATCAAAAGTTGAAAAATCGAAAAACCCAAAAGCCGAAAAATCTCAATAATGTATTTATAAACCACAAGTTCAGGTTATGCTACTAAAAAATTGATAACGTCATCTCAAAATTTTGTTGAATAAATTCTACTAAAAATGTGCAAAATATGATGAGTTTTTACTTGTAGTTTATCATTGCATTCATATTTTTTTAGATTTGATTATATACCTAGGTGGCTCAAAAAAATTACTGAATGAGTCAATTTATTCTATTGATTAAATCAGTCTCGACTCACTCCATTTTCCCAGAAATTTTTGGTATATTGTTATTTTTAGTCTAATCCACATTGATTTACATGTCCTTGCAAAATGTTAATGATTTCATCACAAAATTGTGTAGCTAAAGTAAAAATTTAACTCTAAAATGCTGGATATGTTTCATTGTATTTTAGGTGCGAGGGAAGTTCTGTCGAAACAACTTTCCACCAATTTTTCTTGCTGTTATATTTGAACATAAACAGTTTATTTTATATATTTTTAAAACATTATAAAGAAAATGAAAAGTTGTGTCAGACTGAACTTTGTGGCTTTCTCAACTATTTTCCGCAGCATTTTAAACTTTCAACTCAATTTCTTTCAAAATACATACAAATGGATTTCGATGGTTATTTCCCTGTACCCTTCATTTGAAAATAAATAAGCTTATCTGGTGTTGTTTACCGATTTGCATTTTATGACGGACTCCCTACAGTGACCATAATCTCTCCTCTCTTGGGTCGCTACCTGCCGTGGATCGGTACTTTGGGTTGCATAGTTACAAAAACTAATTCTTCTCACTGAAACCGATTTTGCGGGCGACGACTGGGGACCCTTAAAAAGTGCGCAGTGAACTGAATTTGGTGGGCTGTACTTCAGGGGTGAGGGAAGTGCTATCGAAAAATTTAACTTCACTCCTTGAATTCCCACTTGGGAAAATTTCACAAACAACGCAGTGAAAACGGTCAGATTGTTTGATGCTACTCTTTACTTAGAACTGCTCGCCTTTTAATTCATTATTAATTATTCTATAACTTGAAAACTAAACATTTTTAGACATATATTAATAGAAACGTTTCGTCTTCTTTTTATGTAAGGAAGACACCCCTCAAGTTTTTCACGTAAGGTCAAAATCACCTTGTATAACGCAAAAAGCCAATTTGTAAATAGCGCCCTCTTCCGGCTCGACCCGAAAACAATTGGCGTTGTTCCAATATTAATTTACCATCATCTTTACTTCGTAATCTGTTTTTTATGATTGCCACAAAGATTTTTATAATAACAAAACGAATCTTTGAAACAATGAAGTCGCAAAAGTTTGGTTACAGCCCAAGGACATTTTAGAAAATAACTGCGACTGTTTTAAAAGATTCATATATCAAATTGACGTGTGTTACCTTAACTTTACAGCTGTAGTGCCAGAATGGAACACTTTCACCAAAAATGTTCAAAATTCTTCACCAAAAGCACCCACAAAGTCGAAAAGTCAAAAAATCGACGCGCTACTAAACATGGATACCACCACGAAAACCTGAGACGAGAAAAATTATTCAACTATTAGTTTATAATGCAATAATAATTACTTTAAGGCAATAGTGACAAAAATTTAAATTTTTATGTATTGAAAGATACTAAAGTAAATATAGGCACCCCACAATACTCCTAAATCTAATCTGTCAAGCGATCACGTCCTCCCGTTACCACCTGTCTCTCCCCAACGTTGGCACTCCTCCGCAGGTTGTGCAACCCATCGCATTGTTTTCATGTGTCACTTTTTGTCAACAGACTCGCCCCCCAAAAATTAATCATCAATTAATAAAAAACCCGCGCACGTCCTCATCATTATTCCGACCGTGCGACGAGTGATTAAGTTTTTACGTTATTTCCAGCAGAAATAGCCGCCGAAAATGGCACCGAACGCATCGACGACTTGAAAACATATTGGACAAACCATGCGAGTGACACAAAACTAGCGTCGATGTGAGTTTCTCGACGAAATGGCATCCGCATTCAACGCCGACACCATCTCGGAATGTAGCGAGGCGAGTACTTTGATCGACGGAAGTGTCATTTCGACAGTACCTGACCGACATGGGTTCCTGGGGGGCGCGCAGTACTCGCCCGAGCCACGGCAGGGGCCCCCGCCGGAAATCGTCCTGCGGAGGGAGAGGAAGTGGCTGAAGATGTTGTCTCAGTGGAATTTTTACATGGACAGGAATTACAGGAAGATCAAGGAACGGTGCCGAAAAGGTAGGTGTCCAAAGTCCTGTTTTGTAGTTAGTTGTGGGGTAATTGGGGCGAATTGGTGCTTTTGGAGCGGTGTCGCCTATCTGGAATTAAGATGATTAATTCAATTAATTATGACTGGTATTAATTATCTCAGAGGCAGAAAAACAAGACAGAATTAGTGATTACGTTTTATTACACATTGATTGCAAGGGTCATGAAAATTTTGAATTCTGTTTTATTAACCTGTTAGGTTTTTGGCCATATCTAGTGCAATCTTTACTTATAAAAAATAGATAATCTAAAAGAAGTTTATTTTTTCATATTGCCATTTATTCCATTAATTCGCTTATCTGTATTTGTTTTGTAGTCAGGTTATTAATTTAGTATTTAATCATGAACATTGATTTCATGCACAAGTACAATCCAATTCACGTCAATATCAAATGACGTCATACTGTGTGTGGTTGAGATCATGCTACTGGGTTAATTAATTTTTTAAGGTAATTATAATTGATGAATGAATCAATTAATTTTGTTGATTAAATCAAAATTGGCGTATTTATTCCCATTAAAAAGTTGGTGACGTCATCTGAAAATGTCATTGAGAAAATCTTGCTTAATTTTTTTTATGTAGTCATCCCTTTCAGAAATTGATGACGTTGTAACTATTGATATAATTATTATTATTAAAGTTAAAAATAGGGGGAATTGTCAAAGGGAAGCCCAAATAAATTTTTTAGCCCGTGAAGAGTAATAAACTCAACTAAAATGTTAAATGATCTATTACCTAAATCAACTAACTCCCACCAAATGAGTAACCAAGTATTAGTCAAATAATGTGCATATTGATACAGATCTATATAACAAGGAATGGAGTCAATGAAATTCGATTCAGGGAATGACATTATCAATCACTTAAAAAAATATTCTTAAAACTCATTGAAATTTAACCCACAATCCAATTTGTGTGGTCGATCGATAAACCAATAAAAATTATTATAACCATAAAAATTGATTAAAATTATTTAGACGGAACTTTCATCGCCCCTGAACAAACAAACAGATGTGGTTTTTGAGATAAATTATAAGATTTGATTGTGCAAATTTTATTTATTTTTTTTATGATATTCCCTATAAATTTAAGTCAAGTGAATTGTTAAACGACAGCTGAACTTTTAAATTTAAAACGATTTTTTTCCAAAAACTAAAGGTGGATTCATGTACCACAGATATAGGGGTGTGTTAATTATAAAATTGAAATAGTATTTACTATGCAAATTTTTGATGTAACGTCATCAAATGGTTGGTGGGGATGAGTAGACAATTTTAGTCAACGTCTAACCATCTGTACGATACGTCTCTCATTTTTTTCGTTCTGAAATAAAAAATAAATCTATTGACATAAAACAACAAAAAACTTATGATTAGTGTTCTTTTTACAGCCTAATGTCTATCAGTTCCCACTCCCATTCTACAGTAGAACATATAATAAACCCCGCCCACCCACCCGCCTCCATTTCGGTGATTAATTTTGTCTACTCTGAATGAAAGGAATGAAAGGAAATAAAATTAGTCGCTAAAATGAAAAGAGGGGGGGGGGGCTAGTACTTGTTGAAATAAGGCTGATTTTGGCAAGTAATATACGTAACTTGCTGTTGATTGTTTATAAAAGACTGTACGAGAAAGTTAAATTGGTAAATTGAGTGTTGGTTTTGCAATTTTTCAAATTTAAAGTTTTCAAGTTCTTGATTTTCAATTTGAATCAAAATGAAATTTTGCAAAACTGTAACAAGGAAACATTTAAAAATGCAACGATTAAAAATCGACAAAACGAAACAATTCTGCAATTTTTCGATATAAAATTTTTCAAATTCTCGATTTTTCATTTTTTGATTGTTCAACAAAAAGACAAATTTATTCAAACTGAATTTTTGAAAAACCGAAAAATTGTAACACTGAACCATCAAAAACAAAATAATTAAAAATCAAGAACTTGAAAAAATCAACAAAAAGAAACAATTTTGCTGTTATTCGATATAAAATTTGTCAAATTCTCAAATTTTAATTCTTTATTTTTCCGATTTTTCATTTTTTAATTGTTCAACAAAAGGACAAATTTATTCAAACCGAAATTTTGAAAAATTGAAAAATCAAAAAATTTAAAAATTGAGAAGTTGGAGAATTGAAAAAATGAAGAAAAACTGAAAAAACCGAAAAAATGAGAATCAAAAATTGAAAAATGAAACTTGATAAATCGAAAAATTTTAAAATTGAAAAATCGAAAAATGAAAAAAATGAGAAATTAAGATGATTGAAAAAAACAATTGAAAAATCAAAAAATTGTAATATAGAAACCTGAAAACGCTGATTAATTAAAAATCGAGAAATTGAAAAATTGAAAAAATGAAAAACAAAAATTTCTATAAATTAAATAATCAAAAATCGAAAAATGATAAAATTGAGAAATTGAATTGGATAATTGAAAAATCGAAAAATTGTAATATTGAAACCTGAAAACGCTGATTAATTAAAAATCCAGAAATTGAAAAAATGAAAAAAAAAATTTCTATAAATTAACATCAAAAAACAAACTAATTAAAAATCAAAAAATTGAAAAAATCAACAAAAAGAAACAATTTTGCAGTTTTTCGATATAAAATTTTTCAAATTCTCATTTTTAATTCTTTATTTTTTCGATTTTTCATTTTTTAATTGTTCAACAAAAGGACAAATTTATTCAAACCGAAATTTTGAAAAATTCAAAAATCAAAGAAAAATTAAAAATTGAGAAGTTGGAGATTTGAAAAAATAAAGAAAAACTGAAAAAATGGAAAACAAAAATTTCTATAAATTAACATCAAAAAACAAAATAATTAAAAATCAAGAACTTGAAAAAGTCAACAAAAAGAAACAATTTTGCAGTTATTCGATATAAAAATTTGTGAAATTCTCAATTTTTAATTCTTAATTTTTCCGATTTTTCATTTTTTAATTGTTCAACAAAAGGACAAATGTATTCAAACCGAAATTTTGAAAAATTGAAAAATCAAAAAAAGAATTAAAAATTGAGAAGTTGGAGAATTGAAAGAATAAAGAAAAACTGAAAAAACGGAAAAAATGAGAATCAAAAAGTGAAAAATGAAACTTGATACATATATCAAAAAATTTTAAAATTGAAAAATCGAAAACTGAAAAAAATGAGAAATTAAGCAAGTGGATAATTGAAAAAAATAATTGAAAAATCAAAAAATTGTAATATAGAAACCTGAAAACGCTGATTAATTCAAAATCGAGAAATTGAAAAATTGAAAAACTGAAAAAATGAAAAACAAAAATTTCTATAAATTAAATAATCAAAAATACAAAAAAAAATTAATTTCAAAATCCAAAGATTTTAAAATGAAACTTGAAAAATCGAAAAATAATAAAATTGAGAAATTGAATTGAATAATTGAAAAATTGTAATATTGAAACCTGAAAACCCTGATTAATTAAAAATCGAGAAAGTGATAAATTGATAAATTGAAAAAATGAAAAACAAAAATTTCTAGAAACTAAATCAAAAATACAAAAAAAAATTTGAAATTCCAAAAATTTTAAAATGAAAACCGGAAAACTAAAAAATTAAGAAATTGTAAAAACGAAACATGGAAAAACTAAAAAATTGTAACATCGAAAACACGAAACACTGAAAAACCGATAAAATTTAAAAGTTGAGAAATCGAAGAATTGAAAAAGTACAGAAACTGAAAAATCGGATAATGGAAAAGCCAAGAATTGTACAATTGAATGAATAATAAAAACCCTAATAATTATTTGAAAAATAATATAAATAAATAATAAACAATTGGCAAACTGAAAATTGGGTAACGAAAAAAGAAACTGTAAAATCGAAAATTTGTAACATTGAAACCTGAAAAAGTGATAAATTACAAATCGAGGAATTGAAAAATGGAAAAAAGGAACAATTGTAAAATTCAACAGATAGAAAATCGAAAAATTAAAATAGGTATCTACAAATTAAAAAATCGAAAAATACAAAAATTTTACTAAAAAATAAAAATCATAATGAAAATCGAAAAACTAAAAATTCTAGAAATCGAAAAATGGAAAAATCGAAAAATTAACAATTAAAAAACCAAAAATTTAAAAATCTCGAATTCAGAAAATAAAAAATCGAAGTAACGAAACAACTTGGAATTACATACTTGGAAGTACTTTATTTTTAATTTTTTATTTTTTCAATTTTTCGTTTTTTAATTCTTCAACAATAGGACACACTGATTAAGAGTGAAATTTTAAAAAATCAAAAAATCGGAAAATTGTTACACTGAAAAATCGAAAAAGAAACATTGAAAATCCGAACAAATTAAAAATTGAGAAATCGAAGAACTGCAACAATAAAGAAACTCAAAATCGAATAATTAATGGTCAACAATTGGAAAAGGATAAATTGTAACCTTAAAAATGAAAAAACTGAGAATTTAATAAACAGAAATAACAAAAATAGAAAAAACGAAGAAATTTAAAAATTGTAATCTTAAAACTTGAGAAACTGAAAATTTCGATAATTGAAAAAACAACTGAAAATTCGACAAATTGAAAAAAAGAAATTGTAAAATCGAAAAACTGATTAATTAAAGGTCCAGAAATAGAAAAATACGGAAAACAAAATTTTCTAGAAATAGAAAAATTGGCAATTGAAGAATTGAAGGACTGAAAAATCTAAACTTTGAATAGTCGAGAAATGGGAAAATCAAAAATAGATTAATTGAGAAATCGGAAAACTGAAAATTTAGCAACGTGAAAATTTGAAAAATTGAAAAATAGAAATACTGAAGAACTGAAAAATCATAAAATCGGAAAATCGAAACATTTAAAATTTAAAAACTGAACAATTAAAATATCGCAAAATTGAAAAATCGAGAAATCTAAAAGTCAATAAATCAAAATATAAAAAAAATCAAAATCGAAAAACTGAAAAATTGAAACATGAAAAATTGGAAAATCGATAAAATTAA